ATTCTGAAAAAAAAAAAAAGCTTTCAAGTACTGGAAGAAGTGAGTCAGGCTTTAAGCAGAAGCAAAAGGTAACTGGGCTTGATTATTGCTGGTATAACAGCTTTAATTACATTAGTTGCTAGCACCACTACTTCTGCAATTGCACAAGAAGTTAAGACAGCTACTTTTGTTAATCATTTAGTAAAGAAATGTTACTAATGTGCTGAGTATTAAAAGGATTTAGGGAGATAGTTGAAACAACAGATTGGTCCACTTTATTTTACACAAATTATTGGAAGGAGTTTCAAAGTTTAAGAGTAAGGAGCCATCTTGAGATTCATGCCAAATACCAATGGATTTGTGTTATTTCTTCTTTTTTTGGTTTTGTTTGTTTGTTTGTTGTTTTTTTGTTTTTTTTTTCAAGACAGGGTTTCTCTGTGTAGCCCTGACTGTCCTGGAACTCACTCTGTAGACCAGGCTGGCCTCGAACTCAGAAGTCTGCCTGCCTCTGCCTCCCAAGTACTGGGATTAAAGGCGTGCGCCACCACCACCCGGCAATTTGTGTTATTTCTAAAATTTACAGTGATAGTCTTCATAATTAGAAAAATGTTTAGACATTTGAAGGGTTTTTGGCATAATTCTAACACCTTTCTGGGTGTTTTAACTTTGCATTTTGAGATTATGAATTTAAAGGATGCTCCTCTGCTGAGCTTTGATGCTGCAGATACTGCTGAGAAAATTATTCATGATAAGTACTTCCATTTTGGTCAAGCTTCAAGAATGGCATATATAGCTTCATCATACTAGCCTCTTTTGTCCTGGGAATACTTTTATTCCTGCACATCCTGTTAAAGTTTGTCTTTAACAACATCAACATGTTGATGGCCAAAGTACATGACTTGAAACTGAAAACGGACCCCTAGACAGAGTTATTAACAGCCTACAAGTCAATGATAGGTAATATTCTGCACAGAGTCTTACCAACCTAAGACATAAGTGCATTGCTTTTAATAATGCATATTCCACAATTGGTAAGGAAGGCATTCTTTTCAGAATGACCTAAGACAGGCTCAGTCTTGTTTATGAAATAAAAAAGGGAGAGATGCAGAGAGCATTTGAGGGTGCTTGGCAGCAATCTGACATTGGCCAAGGACAAGGAAATGGGCTTCAAGCAGGAATCTGACATTAGGTTAGAACAAAGAAGTAATTTCAAGCAGAAATCTAAATCTTAGGCTAAAACAAAGAGGTAGGCTTCTGGCATGAAATGACTTTGGGCTAGGACAGAGAAGTAGGCTCAAATATATTGGCCATCCAGATAAGCCCTTATAAACAGTGATCATGGGAGTGATCACAGAACTTTGTTTATTGCCTTGCTTGTTCTTTGACTATTTGTGTTTACTGTCTTGTTAGTTCCTTGAATATTTTTATCTATTGTAGTGCTAGTGCCTCAATCTAGAAATGACCTTAATTCTTACATGTAACTAAAATCATATAAAAGCAAAAAAAATCATTTTCTGTTACTATGTGATAAGATAAAAGGACAATGAAGTTTTAAAGAGGAAAAAAGAAAGAAAGAAAATATCATCCTGAGTGAAGTAACTCAGTCACAAAAGAACATACATGGTTTGCACTCACTGCTAAGTGGATATTAGCCCAAAAGTTCAGAATACCCAAGATACAATTCACAGACAATATGAAGCACAAGAAGAAGGAAGACCAAAGTGTGGATGCTTCAGTGCTTCTTAGAAAGGAGAACAAAATAATCACAGGAGGAAATATGGAGACAAACTCTGGAGCAGAGACTGAAGGAACGGTCATACAGAGACTGCCCCACCTGGGGATCCATCCCATATACAGTCACCAAACCAAGACACTATATTGTGGATGCCAGGAAATGCTAGCTGAGGGGAGCCTGATGTGACAGACTCCTGTGAAGCTCTGCCAAAGCCTGACAAATACAGAGGCAGACACTAGCAACCAACCATTGGACTGAGCACAGGGTCCCCAGTGGAGGAGTTGTAGAAGAGACTGAAGGAGCTTAGGGGTTTTCCCATGAATGGAGCAACAGTGTCAACTGGCCAGATTCCCCTGGAATTCTCAGGGACTGGACCACCAACCAAAGAGTACACATGGAGGGACCCATGTCTCCTGCTGTAAAAATGTGGCAGAGGATAGCCTTGTTGGACATCAGTGGGAACAGCAGTCCTTGTGCCTAAGGATGTTCAATGCCCCAGTGTAGGGGAATGTCAGGGCAGGAAAACAGAAGTGAGTAGGTGGGTGGGTGGGAGAGCACCCTCATAGAGGCAGTGGTAGGGGGATCAGATAAGGAGTTTCTAAAAGGAACACCTGAAAAGGGGAAAACATTTGAAATAAAATAAATAAAAAAAAATAAAGAAAGAAAATATTCAATAAAAAAGAAAAATAAATAACATAACAGAAAAATACAAAGGCATAAGGTAAAAAAAAAGAGAGAGAGAGTCAGTATGAGGCTAAGGTAAAGAGACACAGATTAATTGCATTGACGAAGGAAGTCTCAGAAACACGCATGAGACACTTTGTTCTCTGGATAAAGTCTCCTCAAGAGCATTTTAAACCAGCATAACAAGCTGTGAAAGGAAAAACATAAAATATATGGTTTTAAAGTATTAAAGAGGCACAAGGAAGTGAAATGGAATTGTATCCAATGTTCTAGAAGATAACAGATTAAGAGATTTGGGGACAAGATCCTACCCAGCTAAATTGAGATCCAGGCATGCTGATACACACCTTTAATCCCAGGACACAAAGCCAAACAGATCTCTGAGTGTAAGGCCAGCCCGGGACAAAGCAGGTTCTAGATGAAGAAGAAAAGCTTAAATTCTGCCATGGTGGTCCACATCTTTAATCCCATAATTACAAGAGACAGAACCATGCAGATCTCAGAGTTCAAGGGTAATCTACAGAGCCAGTTCCAGCAAAGCCAAGCTTAGGCAGAGAGGGAGTCAGAAAACAGAAAGCTGGTAATAGAATAAGGAGAGGCATGTTCCAGCCCCAGCAAGCAGCAAACTCAGCAGCATTGGCCATGTGCCTCTGGCTTAAGTGTGAAGAATAGACGGGACTACTGGGACAATTGATGCTGATTAGTTAGACCTCAGAAATTAGCAGCGACTAAGATGAGACCAACAACACTTAAGTGAAATCTTCAAGGAAGTCTTTTCTGAGAGCACAAAGAAGCTTTGTTCCAGAGATAGCCAAGATTGTACCATGTGCTACAGCTGTACTTAGTAATACGTAAGAGTCACCCAGGTGGTACTGGTTTTGAAGACATGAAGGGGTCATGAAGAGCAGCTGAGGCTTGGCACTGTGAGAGGTCATGGAAGGCCATTGCTAAAGAAGCAGCCTCAGTTGCAGTTGACAACCCAGGACTGAAGGGGTCATGCAAAGGATTTGAGGCTTGGCACCATGAAGAGAGCCTATGAGAGGCTATTGATGAAGCCTAGTTGCAGTGCAAGACCCCAGTGTATTGAAGATGCCAGTACCATGGGATAATTACCAAGAACAGCAGCAGCAGTGGACTGGATCAACCTGAGCTTAGAGTAGTACAGAGGGCAGAGCTGCAGAAGTGACACCAGCCCTTTGGAGGAGCACAGAAGATCATATGTGGATCCCAGACACTGAAACAAGAACCTGTAACATTGAAGTTGCCTTGGAGAGCCCAAGATGTTTGAGATGCCAGAGTCAAGGGCTATCTGCTGAGGAAAGCTACTAACAGGGAGTAGTAACAAGCCAGGAGAAAGAAGGTTGTTGCAGTCACCACAGATGAAAAAGGAGTGAAGATCTGAAAACTGCTTTGACATAAGACATAAAGATGCAGAGTTGGGAGTTTGCCCAGCTGGTTTCCTGCCTTGCTTTGGGGATCACAGTTAAGTGACTGGATGAAACTCAGAAGAGACTTTGAACTTTGGACTTTTAACATTGTTGAGACTGCTATAGACTATGGGGACTTTGGAATGCACTTTTTATTATACTATGTTTAGGTATCGCCCCCATAGACCCAAGTGTTTTGACAAGCCTATGGGGGCCAGGGAGTAAAATGTGATGGTGTGTATTTTCTTGGGCCAGGTAGAGGCACTACTGGAATGTGACCTTGTTGTAGTAGGCGTGTCACTACAGGTGTGGGCTTTAATACCCTAGACATTTGCCTGGAAGTGAGTATTGTGCTAGCAGCCTACAGATGAAGATGTAGGACTCTCAGTTCTGCTGCACTAAGCCTGCATGGACACTCCCATGCTCCCGCCTTGATGGACTGAATCTCTGGCCTGTAAGCCAAACACATTTAAATATTGTCCTTTGTAAGACATGAAATGGTCATGATGTCTGTTCACAGCAGTAAAACCATATCTAAGACACCTGGCAATCTCAGTTCCCCCTCTGTTTCAGTAAAGACTTGATATTCTCTGTCCATTAAGAACAAATGAAACATTTTCCCCTGGGCCTGCATTTTGCATCAATACTGAGCTGAGCAGTGCGGGAGGATACCAACAATGTGAAAAAAAGAATATAGACAATGTGGTGCCAAATACACCATGGAACACTATTCAACTATTAAAAACAAAGACATCATTAAATTGAAGGCAACTGGATGGAAATTGAGAAAATCATTCTGAGTAGTGTGGCCAAGTCCCAAAACGGCATTCATGGTATGTACTCACTTATAAGTGGATAATAGCCATAAAATACAAGATACACACACTACACTACACAGACCCAAAGAAGCTCAACAAGAAGGAAGGCCAAATGAGAATGATGGATTCTCACATAGAAGGGGGAAAAATTGTTGTAGGAGGCAGATGGAGAGAGGGAACTGGGTAGGAGAGGGGATGTGGAAGAGAATGTAGAGGTTCAGGATCAGGTGAAAGGAGGGATGGAAGAGATGGACAGTTGGGCATGAGAATAAAGGGAAATCTGTAACTGGCAGGGGTGGGCAGGTGTGGGCATCTCAATATGGAATGCCCCTGCTCTGCTGTGCATGAGAGGAGGGGTCACTCAGCCATCACAGCCAGGCTGACGGGGAGACTGGTCTTCGAGCTGATTGGGTTGAAGGCCTCACATTGGTAATCTCCAGCATCTTCCCTCATGACAGTAAGTATCCTGAGTTGGCACTTTGAGGGGGACAGAGTCATCCTCTCTGTGAGCTGCAGACTCTGATTATTGAAGAGCCAGTGGATTGAGACCCCAAGGATGTCTGAGAAGCAAGTGAAGACCACTGAGCTCTGTATTCTAACTGTGCTGTCTGTGACTCTCAGGACAGGCTGTGTCGCAAGCTCTGCAAAGAAACAGAGAAGGGTACTAAATGACAGTCTTCCTTGAGTCAGCTCAACCCACCCCTCTATAGCATTAATAAAGCTTCCAGGGAGGAGAAATTGGAGCTGTGACTACAGTCATATCTTGCGCTTTGCATCTGCAACCCACAGGATGTGTGACACTGATTCAGCCACTGATTTTGCTGTGCCTCGGTTTCCCTATACTAGGACACACCTTGCATGATCACTGCAGTACCTGTGAGTTAAGATTAGGTGCTCACATCAGAAGCATCTGTTCTACTTACCCTAGGCTGGACTCCTGAGAATAAGAAGATGCCTGGAGAACTATCACCTCTGTCCCTTCACTTAGGTATATTATTTTTGTCTCACTCTCCTAAGTCCATCAGAACACTTGGCTTCTCTCTGAGCACCTGTCCATTGAGACTCAGGAGAAGAAGGGGCACAGGTGACCGACATGACTGCAGCTGTCATGGCCATGCACAGCTGATCTTTCATCCTATGGGACTTGGACAGTCAGGGAAGCCTTGTTCTCTGTCAGCTCTAATGGGAACTCCAATGCTAGCCCTGAGGAGATCTCTGGGAACAACTAAAGTTGAGTCTGGAATCTTGGTTTCCTGATGCTCCTCTTACTGATTCAACAGCATTTTCCCCGGGGCTGCCCCCAAGCTCTGCAGCCTTCCTCCCTCTAAGCTCAGCCTCCTCCCAGGCAGGAGCCCTTCCCAGGGGGATGCTGACTGCTGTCAGGGATGGTGCCAAGCACAAGGCTGAAAATCATCTCTGTGTCCTGGGGCAGCAACAGCTCACCCCAGGGCTGTCCTCCTCTGTGTTCTCCCAATGTGTCCTTTATGACACAGAATCCTAAGCTGCCCTTTGTTCTCAATGCTCTGAGATGGTATCAACTCCCTGCAGGAAGGTGACACAGATGCCTGTGAGGACTGGGAAGGGACCTGCTGACTGATGTCTAGGAAAGGGACAGTCACATTCTCACTGGAGTCACCAGTCAGGGAGCATTGTCATGACACCCAGGAGCAGTTGTCTGGTGACTTTCATGTGTCTGTGAAGCAGGAGGTCACCAGGACCCTAGAGAGGGGACATAAACCTAGGGAGAATTTCAGAGAGACTCTCAGCATCCTACACTGGCAGAGTCTCACCTAGTGTCTGCCTGTGTCCTTCCTGGGAGGCAGCTGTCCTCTGTCTAGGTGATTTCCTATGGGAATTGTCAGGGAGAAGCAGGAAGATGGTAACACAGGATTCTATGACAGAGTAATGTGCTGAGTACATCTGAAAGTCTGCCCAAGAGAACTCCAGGTCTATAGGGTCTGGGACAGAGACAGGCTACAACCTTTGTACTTGGTTCCTGAAATTACGTTTCTGACTTTTCTACCATTCTGAGCATGTCAAGAGTCTCAAGAGACTGGGCCGACTCTAAACTCTTAGTCTTCATTACTGCACCATCTAGTGGACAGCAGTGGGTTTACACCTGATGTCAGGGTGATATCCAGTTTAGCAACTCTGAAATATTGTGCCTGCAAAAAAGAATTTCAGGTGTTGGAGATCAAAGGACAAACACTAGCAGAAAAGGACGTGTGGCCTTTGTCCATCACCTTGGAAACCCTGACGTTCCTGTAAGGTCACATAAGGCCATCCAAATAGCAAGTTAATGACCTAGGGACCCAGATTGTCCAGTCCAGCTATGCATTCCTGGTTGAGTTTCAGTGGAAGACGTCCAGGGTAACTAGCATAACTCTGGTTCTTATGACAGTGCACTGGATGGTGCCACATACAATGACACCCTAGTACCATGTCAGCTCTAACAAGGATCCAAACCCAACCAATGACAAATACATTTCCC